ACTCTCCTAATCTGCATGGCAAGTTGATGTATATCTTAATGTGTTCTAAGTGGCTTATTTAAGCAGAGATGTTATCCTGCAGAACATCTTTTGAAGAACAAAACTATATGAGTCTGTTTATCAAATGTCGCAATCTATGAGAGTAGGGTTCTCTCTAGTAAACTCATGAAAGGTCACGGAGTATGATGCATAAGCTCCACCCGCGGGGAAGATCCACGATAGCCACGTATCGATCAAGGCTTTATGTGAAGCTAGATTTGCAGAAAACTTGCAGTTCAAGGCCCAGTCCACTGTTCAAGTTGCTTACTAGTGTAGCATAGAGTTCTAGGTGGAAGTTCAACTTAACAATCTCCACTGCAGTACCGGTATATAAAACAGTATTTTGGAACCAAAGGCAAATTTCTGTGTGCCTCTGGGATCTGGTGGGGGATTGCTGGAATTTGGTCTATTTTGGGCAGCCCAATAACTATTTTAGAAATTCCTAATAAATCCTAGAGGCCCACTCAGCCCATTTGTGTAAGGCAAGGGATACTACTAAAGTTTAGTCTCACATTGCTAGTTTAGTGGGAGTTGGACCTCCATATAAGGGAGGTTCTTTCCCCACTTGTACGAGCATGAGAATAAGAGGGATATCCACGCGCGCTCCTCCTCCGCCGCCCGCCTCGCCACGCCACGCCACGCCTCGCCTCGCCTCGTCACTACGCGACGCGACGCGTCGCGGGTTGCGGGAATGAGCCGAGCCGATATCTAAATTTTTGCCACGCACTACGGGTATACGAAAGGTCACACGAAAGCTGAAAAGATTTTTGCGAAAGTGGAGTTTGAATGCGAACGGTGCGGCCCTTCAGCTGCTGGCTGTTCGCTTCGCCTCCGTCTCTTCGTTTCGCCTCCCATCGCTGCCCTCTCGCCGCATTCTCTTGCGCCTATAAAAGGGAGGTCGCTCCTCCCAGAGAGACGCACCAGAACTTCTCCTTCCTCTCGCCACCGGTTCCATTCCCTGAGTTACCGCTGTCTTCCTCATCCCGGCTTACGGCGTGCACCGCGAGTCGGGACAGTAGGCCTCCGAAACCGCACCTCTTTGAGTCCTGTACGGGAGAAGGGTGATAAGGTTTTGGGGGAGCGCTCCGCGCGACTACTGACTTCTTCATCACGGACTCCGACGACTACTTCCCCGACGTCGACGACCTCATCGACGACATGGCTGGAGAGGACGTCGACCCCAAATCCAGTGCTTCTGCTGCTGTTGTCCCGTACGTATTTATGCTCTTTCTGTTAGACGTCCTGCCACAGTTCTTTACTCTAGTTTTTGCCCTACATGTGTTAGGTTCTACTTCATATATGCAACTTGCTATACTGTCTGATCTAGATGTGTTTAGTTACAGTTCATATGTGAAGTTGCTATTTACCTTCTCCTTGTCAAATCGCATGACTTGCTTTATCACTGTTATATTAGTCATGCTTTATCTAATATTTCTGTTAATAAAATCATTTGGTAAATTGCTCATATTTCCAACAAGTTCTACATATGCTATACCAACAGTATCCAATAAGATGTTTTTGTTTATTGATGACTATCACATTTACTAGTGCTCATTTCATTTCTCAAAGTAGTGAGTCTTGGCTACCAAGACCACATCTATTGTGGATTGCGGTGCATCACTAGAAAACAAAAATTGCAAGAAAATCATTGGTCAGTCTAAAAATTGTATATTGTAAAGTAAAATACACCACAAATCCTAAAACAGTTCAAGGGGTGTCAAATAAGTGCTAATATAATGAAAATGCACATTTGGGCCCTAAAAGTTTGCTAAGTGTGCCACCCGCGGTCCTATTCGTGCTACATCAGCTTTGACTTGCACGGGTCATAGGCTGACCACTATCA